GGGGGGGGGGGGGGGAAAGTGGCAGCTTCTTAGTTATTTTCTGAATGTTTAGCTTATAGATCCTGAACAACGTAAGTATGATTACTTTGCTTAAAATGTAGAAAAAACAAATTAATTGGGAAATCTGAAATATATATACTTATATTATTGTTTTTCTAGCAAGCCAGTGAGTATGGCAATACTTAAAAATATGCAAATATCTTCCCCATCAATACCGTGCACATGGTAGAATATTCCAAGATTATGTCTTTTTTCTTTTAAGGCATTTTTCCGTGGATTTCTTCAGAGACAGAAATACCTTCAGTGCAAGTTTTCTGCTGTATTAATACAGCAGCACTACAGAGCCCATCAGATGCGAAATACTGAACAACAAAGGTACCATCAAATGAAAAGAGCTGCCATTAGAATTCAGGTAAACCCTGAAGGTTTTTTTTGTAGTTTTTTTTGGTTTTTTAATCTCTCTTGTATTTGTTTCTTCATGTTATAATTATTTTTACAGACGTTAAAGAGAGTAGTGTATGTGGTATTTCACTGAATGTGTTTCACTTGCTTTAGAAAACATCTTCTAGACATGAGAAATTAGATATTTGTAATACTGTAGGGATAAGAATCCTAAAAGCCTTTCATGCTAACATGAGTTTTTTCCTTTTAATTTTGTTCCATTAAACAAAAAAAATCAAGTTTTGATTTTTTTTTTCTTTTTATATATTTAATAGGCATCATATAGAGGATATAAAGCCAGGCAGTGGGTTAAAAAATTGAGAGCAGCACAAGTAATTCAAGCTTGGTTTCGAGGCTGCAGGGCACGAAAGGACTGTGCGTCTGTACTAAATGCTGTATGTGTTATTCAGAGTCACTTCAGAGCAAAACAGCAGCGGACCCGGTAATACCTAATTTCATATAAATTTCTCTACTTCTCAAAGCTTTTATTATATAATTATTTAGTACTGCTTTGCACTCTGGCAGATGCCTATGGATTCTCAGACTCTGACCCTGGAGTGTGTATGTATCATCCTGTTGATGAATGGGGGATTATTCTTTTGCACAATATTTTTCTTACGTTTAAATGTTTTTCTGGACTGGAAGCTACCTCACAAACTTAAAATTTGCATGTTGGCGATCTAGAAAGAGCAGGCCTCGATCTTCTTTTTCACGAATCTTTTTTTTACGGGAAGCACGTTCTGGGTATTGTTAAAATTACAGCATAAAACCAATAGGATGAAAAGCTATTTCATTATAATGCATAACTGATTAGTTTGATTAATTTGTATTTATTTTGCTGTGAGGCAGTTTTGCAATAAATGTTTTACTAGGTCAGCCTGATAGCTCATCTCACGCAGAACTTTGTCCTCTGCCAGTAGCAGCTGAAGACACTGTTTAGGGAGCGTACATTAACCTGACCACTTTTGAAGGTCCTTCCTCAGCATCCATGCTTGTTAGATTATGGATGCTAGAACTTACATCCTTGCCTTTTCCCTTTATTATACTTTTACGGACCCTGTTGTATGTCAGGTTGTCTAATGCCTTTTAAACTGCTGTCTCCCTCCCCAACTTTGGCAGCAAATTTTGCAAGTACCTATTGTAGCAAAAGAGTATCTTCTATTTTAAACCAGTCTTTCTAACATTGCTGTTCTAGTGTTCCAAGATTTAGTTGATAACAGCTCTGCTTTCAGAATATCTGTCTTAATGTGTAAACCTTCACTGTTTTCTTACTTTAAAAATGCATGTGTTCTCAACATTTGGAAAAAAACCCCTAAAATGTATTCTCATGTTAGATTTTTGAAAATGAAGTTCTGTGCACTTACCATTCAAAGAAAATGGAGAGCAACCCTTACTGCACGAATGGTTCAACATCAGTTTCTGGCAACTAAGGATGCTGCAGTTAAGATTCAGTTGGCATATAGACAGTACAGGGCTAGAAGACACTTAAAAAAGGTATGTTCTCACTTGCCCTCTGCTACGTCACGGTTGTTTTAAAAGTTTTCAATGTGTTTGAGTGGTTGTTGTCATCAATATGCAGAAATATAGAGAAGAAAAAAGGTGGGGCCAGAACAAAGATTGTTCAAATAGAAACTGTTCCATTTTCAAAATATTAATTTTTGCTTTGAGCAACAAGGTTGATTCTTGTTTTTGAACAGTTCCAGTTGTTGAATTAGCCCTGTCTGATTACCCCTATACTGATAACAAGATGAAATGTAAAATTTTATGCTGGCTTTATTGCTTCCAAAGAATTACATTAAATTAACAATATTTTGACCCCATTTGGGTAAGGGAAAAGACTTTCCAAATTATGAAAGTGCATTTCTGTATAAACTAGTAGTGCATGAGTTTGCTTGCATTTCCTTTTTTTGGTGTGTGTTCTTAAGATACAAAAAAAGTCTAGAACTAAAATATAAATATAAATTGATTGTGACAAGAGTGAACAAAACTCAATTATCAATGCATTCTTTAAAATCTTTTTGAGAAGCTTCAAGCTGCATGTTTGATCCAAAAAGCATACGGAGGTTTCAAGGCAAGAAGGAAACTTTTTCAACAAAAAGCTGCTGCTGTAATTATCCAAAAACATCTAAGGACTTGGCAGGAAGGCAGACTTCAATTTATGAAATACAACAAAACTAGAAGAGTTGTCATTAAGCTGCAAGCATTTATACGGGGTTATTTAATCAGGAAATAGTTGGTATACTTCAAATTAAAACTATGCTTTTGGTGTAAATTACCTCTAGAGCTGTTTTAGCATTAATTCTGTCTGGCAAAAAAAGGAAAACCTGATCCCTTATTGTTGAACTCAAATTCTGGTTGACTGGTTTGAGAATTTGGTGGGTCAGAAGCGATTAAAATACAGTTTGATCATTTTCTCACAATCCTTTAGTACTAAAATAGGTTTTCATTGTTGTGTATTTTTTTTAGGTTCTTTGTGACTTATCTATAACTGATACTTCTGCACAGACCCCCTTACAATGAAACTCCTCTGCTATGTATGTTGTTGCTTACAATCACTTCTCTGTGTTATTGTTCAGATTAGAGACCTAATACTGAAGAAGGTTAGCTTACTTAATTCTGAGGTAATGACTCCCGAGGCAACTCTTCAGCATAGACAATCAGCTACCTCCGAGTATGAAATTTAATGATGTTCCTTGTTTTCTTTTACTTCCACAGATTTTAGAACAGAAACAAAAGAAGAGACTACTTTATTTTACAGCAGCTGCTTATCATCATCTCTCTGCAATTAAAATCCAAAGAGCCTATAGGATTCACCTCATCTTAAAACTTGCACAAAAGCAGATCTCATCTGTTCTTATAATACAGGTTAGTCTAATTAAGGATTGTGATGGGTTGGCCCTTGGCTGGGGGCCAAACCACACACCCACTCACGCAATTCCCCCCCATCCAAGGATAGGGGAGAGAGTTAAAGGGGTAAAGGGAAAAAAGGACTCGTGGGTTGAGATAAGGACAATTTAATAACTAAACGACAATAATATTGAAAATAATACTATATACAAATATACAAATGAGTGACACACAGTGATACTGCCCCCCACCCGATAACCAAGGCTCAGCCTGTTCCCGGATAACAATCCCGGAGCAGGGAGAGTCCCGAACCCGCACTCACGGAACGGAGAGAACAGTCCGAGCGTCCCAGACCCAGAGCTGACCGGGGTCGGGGGGGAAGGACTTGGGAGAGCGACCGCCTGGAGCGAGATGACCCGGAGCAAAAGAGATCCGGAACCAAAAGGGCCGATCTTCCGGAGGGTCCTCACCTCTATACTGGGCATGATGGGTATGGTATGGGATAGGTTATTGGCCACTCTGGGTCTCAATCCCGAACCTCAGATCAAATCCTGGGCTGGTCACTGGGGCTGTGCTCCCTCCGAGCTTCTCCTGTTTGCAGACAGAGAAGCTGAAAGACCTTGGCAGCCGCGTAAACATCACTTTTTATCAGCTTTCTTCTGAGCACAAATCCAAAACACAGCCTCTTGCTGGCTATTATAAAGAAAGCTCACTCTGTCTTTGCTTAACCCAGGACAAGATGATTGATTTTGTGTAACATAGTCTAATTTCTGTTAGTTAAGCTGTGTCTTAGCACTGTAGTTCCTTCACACGTGAAACAAAGCTAAGTTAGGGAGACAATGATTTCTTAAATCAGGCTGCTTATACCCAGCTAAGTATAACAGAGTGATTGAAGGAGAGACTGAAACGGGAAGCCTGAAATAGCTGTTCTCCACTCAAAGATGGTATGGCAAACTTTGCCCTACTACTCCTCCATATATACAGGTCTGTAAACTCTCCCTATAATTTATATTTTCCCCTTAAGGCAAGAGGAAATGGGTGGAAGAGGCTTTTTTTTGCTCAGCTTGGGTTTACAGTACCCTGTCTTCCTTCTCTGTATATAGAGGGGGAGAAACAGAGCTGGGAAATAAGGAAAGTGGAGTGGTGGTTCTCCTTCAAAGCCAGCCAAGAGAAAGAAAAAACTGCAAGGACAGAGTAACGCCAGGCACAAGTATTAAGTTGGGAGAGGAGTGGCTGGAGAGCAGCCCTGCAGAAAGGGATCGGGGGGTGCTGGTTGATGGCAGGCTCAGCAGCATGCCCTGGCAGCCAAGAGGGCAAACCCCATCCTGGGGCGCACCAAAGGATGCTTCAAACGCAGTAGAACCAGCTGGTCAAGAGGGGCGATGATGTCCTGCTGTATTTAGCATTGGTGCAGCCTCACCTTGAGGGCTGTGTGCAGTTCTGGGCACCAGTTTAAGAAAGATGTGGAGGTCCTCAAAGGCGTGTGATGTGTGGGAATGGTTCAAAGCTGCATCAGAGGAGGTTTGGAATTTGGAAGCATTTCTTTACCAAGAGGGTGGTCAAACACTGGAACGGCCCCAAGCCTGTCAGTGTTTAAGAGGTGTTTGGACAATGCCCTTAATGATGTGCTTTAACTCCTGGTCAGTCCTGAATTGCTCAGCCATTTGGACTAGATGCTCGTTGTAGATCCCTTCCAACGGAAAATATTCTGTTCTCTTCTGTTCAGAATGCTTCCCTAACAGCTCCGAGTTCAGATTTCATTTTGCAGTCTTGCATTTCAGCTACCCTAAGACCAATCAGAGCTGTGTCATGGTGGTTATATGAGCGCTAGTGATGTTTAGAGTGCCATTATCTGTCAAAGCTCATGTTAAAATAGTTTTTCAGTTTTTATCAATGCTTTTAGGATGGGAAAAGGGAATTTAGGGAAAAGTCTTGAATAAATAGAAAGGTACTTTTATTTTAAACAGAGATGGTTCCGAGCAAAAATGCAACGAAAAAGATTTCTCAGAGATTATCAAAGAATCATTCAATTACAACGTGTGATTCGAGCCTGGCTAAATCACAGAAATGATGCAGCAACCGTAATCCAACGCAATGTACGAAGATTCCTTGCATGCAGACATAGGGGAAAATTTGCAGTTGGAATAATTAAATTTCAGGTAAATACCTCTTGTAAGAAAATTACAAATTTTTTTTTAGTTTTATTTTTTTCATTTTTCCCTCTGGGTTTTTTGGGGAGAGTAAAGATGTTTACTTTGAATTTACCCATTAAATTGCAAGCCAGGTTAGCTTCACTTTAGACATCAAAGCTAAGTGCAAACAGCCCATGAAGTAATATTAACCAGATACTGGTTGAGGTGACTTATGTGGGAGTGTGTGTGCATGTTTGTTTTGGTCTTTTGTCTTGAAAATCCAGTATTTGGAAGATTAAAAACTGAATTATAGTTACTTAAAAATTAATAACCAAGGTAATTACATACTTTGTCAGACTTGGGTAAAACTGATTTGGAACAATAATGGAAGGTTTTATTCTATTGTCTCTTGCTCACAACTTTTTTTTTTCTTTTTGTGAATTTCCTTTTCTGTAGGCATTGTGGAGAGGATATTCTTGGAGAAAGAGTAATGACACAGCAAAAACTAAAGCTTTAAGACACAGTTTAGAAAAAGCTAATAAAAAGAGCAGAGAAGAAAACAAATTGTGCAACAGAACAGCAATTGCTATTGAATACCTTCTAAAATACAAACATCTCTCTTATATTCTTGCAGCATTAAAGCATCTTGGTCAGTATTTCATTTTATTATAACTGATAGATTTCCAGGATGATAGAAACTGGAATTTTTCAGCTGAGAAGAGTTCGTAATGATATTTAGGCTCTCTGTACGGTTGTAAAACGTGAAAGTGCTAGTATAATGGGTTTTTTTCCCCAGACTAAAATTAGATTATTGATTTAAGAGCAATATTAAAATGGTTAGGTAGAGAAAGGAAATCCTATATGATTGTGCTGATTTCCTGGCAGTCCTACCATGCCTTACATAAGTCAATTATATTTACTATCAGTATATGTTCTCATTGGATTGTTTTGTCTGCTTAATTTTTAGTCTGGAATATTCAAACTATTAATTTAGAAATACTTGTTTAAATCAATAGTTGTGTTTTTTACTTCTTTGCACTTCTACTTAAAATTAAGAGAAAACCCTGGTTTGCAATCAAATTGCTTGAGCTTCAGAGTTTTCTTTATTGTGTTTTTTTTTTTTCTTTAATTATAGAGGTGGCTACCAGGCTGTCCCCACTTTGTTGTGAAAATATGGCCCAGAGCAGAGCAATCTCCACTATTTTTGTTCTGATACGAAGTTGCAACCGGAGTGTTCCATGCATGGATGTGATCAGATATTCAATTCAGGTTCTACTTAATGTTTCAAAGGTAACTGCAGGTCTATAAGCTATAGACTACTTTATTGTTGTTTTTATTTATCCACAAAATTTCTGAATAAATTTGAAACAATAGTTTTTAATTTAAAAAAAAGTTTCTGAATTTTAACCGTGTTATTTTGAAACCGATCATCTGCTTTGTACTCACTATGATTTAATTTTCATTTTGGCAAAAGAAAATCATTTCATAGGCTTAAAGTACAAAGGCTAGCTTTTTGTAACTTGTTACGATGGTGTAACATACAGAAGTGATTTTTATCTCTTGGATGTCAGATCAGCTACAAATTTAATCTAGGGGAGAATATGGATTTTGCTTTTTCCTCTAACCTGAAAGGTATTTTAAAGATCTGTCTATATAAACTCTCTTGTCTCTTTTCTTGTGTAACAGTATGAAAGAACTACTCAAGCAGTTTATGAAGTAGAAAATTCTATAGATACTTTACTAGACCTACTGCAAATGTACAGAGGGAAAGCTGGGGACAAAATTTCAGAGAAAGGAGGAAGCATTTTCACAAAGACCTGTTGTTTGTTGGCTATCCTTTCAAAGGACTCAAAAAGAGCTTTGGTAAGACTTAAATGTTTTGGATTTAATAATTTGATTTAACTTGCTTCTTTTGCATGTTTTGGTGTTGTTTGTAATTTTTTTTCTTTCCCTCTCTACCATACCTATTAGAGCTGTAATATTAATTATGACTAAACTCTGATTTAAAAAAAAGCATTTCCAAGATGGTGGAAGTGCTCATTATTTTGTGCTTTGTTTGCCCTGGTCACACCGAGCTATTCAATAAGGCATTGAGGTTCTGATACTGCAATCCCTATTTTCCCCTGGGGTTTGATGGCTTAGCATTAGATCTAGTTTAGTTGCCACTTAATTAATTTTTATTCCATTTCTGAAAGTTTACTGTTGCTTTTCAGATCAAGTTAAGATCTTTGTTGTCAGTAACAAGAGGTAATACCATTTGTGTTGACATACTCTTGGCCTGTTTGTGAAAGAAATCTACTTTATTGATGCTTATTGCCAGAATCCTTAATCAGGTTATTAGGGTAGTCTGGGTTCTGTGCTATGAATTCCCCATCTGTTTATCCATCAGATCTGAGCACCTCAGTTATCCAGGCAGCTTTGACCATCCCATTATTCTTTCATTGCTGTGAAGACGGGTACAAACAGTGATTTGTCTCTCTGTAGCAGTCATTGAAGGCATACGCAAATGACATATGTGAAATTTGGTTTTAAAGAGAAATTAGTAAAATCTGACTTATAAAAGCTTGAATCTTCTGAGATCTCAAGTTGCATGCCAGTTGTTAAGTATTTTGAAAGCATTAGACCCACTGACTTGTTGTGGGTGCGCTGGCTTTAAAATGGTTTCACTGTACTTGTGGGCAGAAGTTCAATTTAAATAATAAATGTTCAGTTTTCTTTGAATAAAACAGATTTCTTGATTTGTTAAGTTGCTTTCAAACTTGTAGTATTAAGTGTGTGCTATTTTCAACTTTTCTCAGGAAATCCGAAGCATACCAAGAGCTGTTACTTGCATTCAAAGCCTATATAAACTTACAGCTCGGAAACACAAAATGGATGCAGAGAGAACACTTGTGAAGCAGAAAACAAACACTTTCTTAAATGGAATTTCCTTTGTTCCAGTAACTCCTCTAAGAATAAAAACAGTTTCAAGGTAAGAGCTTAAAAATTAGTCTGCTGTTTTTACTGTGGCAAAATAATATTTTAATGACAAGCCACTCATATTTTCACAGAATTAAACCAGACTGGGTTTTGAGGAAAGATAACATGCAAGAAATTGTGGATCCTCTGCAAGCAATTCAGATGGTGATGGATACACTTGGTATTGCCTGCTACTGAGCTGTAAATTGTGTACATGAAAAGGTTTTTGTATAGCATGTATGTAGTAGACAGTTAAATGATTTTGAAATAAAGCAAATAAGTGTCAAGCTACCCTTGCAAAATGTATTTTCAATTTGTAATTAATATTTCTGTAACTTTTTTGTGTTGTATACAGCTTTTGAAATCCTATTTTGTACTAAAACCAAAAGCAATTGTACAGTAAAATCATAAGCCCTGGAACCATCACTAGTGCAGTAATGAATTGTTATTGCACAACTGTGAAGCTTACAACTACCCCGGCCGTGCAACACCAGGCACGTCGGCCACGCTGGCAACGTGGTCACCCTGCCACTGCAACACCTGGCCAGTCAAGCACCTGGTGGTACGACCGTCCCAGCGGGTCAACCACACTGGCAGGACAACCACCACCCTGGCACTGCGACACCCAGCGGGTCCACCACCCCAGTGGTGCAATACCCAGCTGGTCAACTATCCTAGTATGTCAACCACCCCGGCCGTGTGACCAACCTGGTTGACCTGCCCGGTGGGCTCATTCCTGGGGTAGCTGCACCGCAAGTATTCCTCACTCATAATAAATATTGTAGAATTCTATTGAAAACAGTTGGGTTTTTTGGGACAGAGGTATGTTGGCTTGACTCATCTGGAGCAATGTAGGTAGGAAGGAAGGCATAGTCTGTGGATTTCAAAAGTGGCTACTGGTTTCGGGGACCTTCAGTTTATTTTCTAGGAAGATTTTGAAGGATTATGGGTGACTGTTGGAAATTTTTTAAAAAATCAATTTTTTAAATGCTACAATATTATGATGGAACAATGGGATGTTATAAGGGTGAATTTAGAAATTCTGACCAGATAACTTAAGGGAGGTGGTTTGTGAGTGCTTTCTTCCTATCAAGTGAGCAATACATGCAAGCACCCTTCTCATCACAGCATCTCCCTTAAATTCTGTTCTCTTGTGCCTTAAAATTGCATTTACTTAGAGCAAGGCCAAGAAAATGAAAACTGTAAAATTATACCCTCCCACCCCAAAATTTAGAGGTCATGCCCGCCAAGGGTGGAACTTGATGCACAATCAGCCCATAGCCATGAGTCTGTTAGGTGACAATGCATCGTAAATGAGGTTCTAACTTGTTTGTTTGTTTAAAAAAAACTCAAAAGGGGCTAGCTGTATACAGCAAAAACCAACAGACACATACTTGCAGTGACTCTGTTCTGAAGGTAAGAGCCTCCAGAAGGAATAATATATAGAATGCAACTGAGTGGTTATATGGGGGTAGGCTGGAGAAGGGGGAAATTTTCTGTTTCCTCTCATTTCTGCCAAGGTAAATAATCTGATAACGGAATGCCCTTTAAACTTGGAACTCAGGAGGTTCTGAGGGGAACAGTGTTCAATCAGTTTAAATTGTTCCATAAGCTTGTTGCCTGTAAAATGATAAATTCTGCCCTCTTTACTGACGTAAAGTACGCCAAATGGAAGTAGAATTCGGGAAGTGTAGTGTTAGGGTATTTGGAGAACTAAAATAAATGAAAACAGTGTTTTCAGTGAAATGTTACAAAATACCATGGACAGTCAAGCATTTGTGAATACCTTTGAAAATCCAGTTAATTATTTACAAAAGTAGTACTTTGTGAGTTTTCAGACACGGTGGAAACTGTTGATGGAGACAGTCATGAAGCTGAGATTTGAAAGCTGTTTTTTCTTCCTAGTTATGATGCACTTGGGAAAACTCTTTGCAGAAGGTAAATACACTGAATTCTGTTGTCAATAGATGTACATTGAATCTAGAACATGTAGTTAGGTAACTTAAGTGCAATGTCTTTCATACCTTTACCAAGAGTAAGCGCTGCTTTTTAAATATAATTTTGTTGTGAGATGGCTGATGGTCAATATTCAGTTGTCACTGTAGCCCACGGCTACAGATTCCTGTCTAAGCTGTAACATTGAGAAGTTCAGGCTTTTGTTCAGAAAAAGCTTCTTGGGAAATGTATTTGAGCAGGTTTGAGGCACTTATACAAATGGAATTTTGTACTATTAAAGCATTTTATATACTGAAGTGTCTTGGTGATTGTTTTTGCTTATCACAAAGCAGAGAGAGGAGTTAAATGAGGGTACCTGCAGTTCCCCCTGTCCTGTCCCTGTTTTCAGTATTTCACATCTCTGTCTTCGGTAGAGTTTTGTCCTTATGCAAAGCAGTTGAAATTACCCTGATACCCTTTGGAAAGTCAAACAAAAGGGATGCGGGTAGTAACCATTTCTGTCTTTTATTTACTTAAAAATCTCAGTTACCCTCAGGCATTGTTTTGGGGGATTTTTTTTAATTATTACTGTTATTTAGGTATGATACAGTGGCAGTGTAAGGAAGCAAATTATTAAAAAATTACCTTGGCACTTTCTATTTAGTCAAAATACTAAATTGGTAGAAAATTCTAGTAAATTCAGTAAATTCTAGTGACATTATTGAGTGAAAGAGCAGTAGCTCGTTCTATATGTATAGGGTGAATGCAGCAGGGACAACTTGTGCGAAAATTCTGCCCAATTATAATGAGATTCATAGGTGGTGATTTAGTTTTTAAAACTTGTTTCTTTAGGTTAAATCTAAATTATAATTTTATTACAAGGTTAGCCTTGTAATGCTGTGGAGAGAATTTTTGAGACCCAAAAGATAATTTTATAAGAAATCCAAACATAAGTATTGTTGGTTTGGCTTGGGGTTTTTTGTTCGATTATTTTTTTTTTTTTTTAATAACAACAGCATATTCAGCACAACTCCTTTTAAAGGTTTGCTCCTATTGCTGGTTTCAGGGGTTTTTTTTAATTGCAGTTCTGCTTCCTTAACCTCCATTTCTTCTTTCTTTTCTGTTGATTCTGTTCTTAAATACCCTTTCTTCAGCAAGTTTAACTCCCCCATAGCCACCTGGCAGTTTGTCGCACCCCTGATAACGTTTGCTGACTGAGGAGCTATGGCATAGCTAATCCTGACACTGCTGCCGCTGGGCTTTAGAGCAGGCATCAGTTCTTTATGCAACAAAGGCTGCTCGTGCTTACAACTTCTGGGCTAAATAAAGAGTCAAATAAATGTGTCCTGCATCAGTTTTGCCCCGTTCACATTAGGAAGTTTCATTCTACAGCTGATATTCCTGTGACCCTAAAGAATAAAAGCTGAGGTAATTGCAATATATCTTAATTCGAGTCTTACAAGACCCCTCATGCTTGTAAGTATTCAGAATTTCATTCACCCCCTTTGAAAGCCTGAATCAATCCAACTGCTTGATTGAAGTTCCTATCCGGGCTGAGATTTTCAGTGAGAAGTATATTTATTTTTTTGCAGATAAACCTTGTGATTTGCCACATATAGAAAACGGAGAGATTGCCCAGTACTATTATTATTTCAAAAGTTATTATTTCCCTATGCAGAAGGAAAAAAAACTTTCTTATTCTTGTATGGTTGGTTATACAACTGAAACTGGGACTCAAGACGGAAGAATAACGTGCACAGCAAAGGGATGGTCTCCAGTGCCCCGGTGCTACAGTGAGTCACCTTTATTATCGTCACCCTTGCTTCTAGCAGGAAACTTGTCTAGCTGGGTGTTCTTGAACGTCCAGGAACAGAACCTGCACAGCACGAGGGATAAAATGTGCAAGTTAGGACAACAAGGTGAAATAATTCCTTTACGTATACAAGCTAAAAATTTGTATAGATGGAATATTTTTACAATAATACATATGTTAAGGGCTTTTACCATACATATTTTATAAGAAATCCAAGAAAGGTGCCTAGTTTCCTTATTTTGGGAAAACTAATGGACAGTTTCCTCTCAGATGTATGTCCTCTAGAGCCTCCCTAGCTGTGGATTCCTTGGTGGTCGTGTTCCATGTTATTACCCTTGGTTTAATGTAGTAGCTGATAATGTGGGAATTTGACAATTTGTGGTAAGAGTTTCTTCAATAGGTCAAGAAAACAAGATTAGATCAAGCTAGCTAAACCCCCCCTTCTCTTGCTTATCAGAGAGCAAAAATACTCCATAGTTCGTTCTTTCTAACCAAGCTGTCTCCTTTCTTTTAGAAAAATGTAACAAGCCTCTTTTGGAAAATGGCTTTTTTTACAGTACAGAGATGTTCTTCAAAATACAGGAAAAACTCCGGTACAGATGTAATCCAGGCTACCACACTCCAAATGGTGGTACCGAAGCTACAGCGCAGTGCCAGCCAGAAGGATGGTCCTCCCAGCCCAGCTGCACTCAAACCCTTGGTAGGATTCTGCGTTTCTCTCCTTTATAATCTGTTTTGTACACAAATAATTCTGCTGTTCTTGCTGGGCCTGTAAGGTGCAACAGGTTATCATCTGAATTCTTCTAGAGCAGGTGTCAGCCGTACCTCTTGCAGTGAAGTTGTCAGATTTCACGCGCTGCTTGTTCTGTGAATTGATAGAAATGAAATTATGTGTAGAAGGAATCGGTATAGATGAAATTGCATTCTTTCAAATTTATCACCATCCAAACTTTCTTCCCAAATGAAGACTGGAACACTTGTGCAAACGATAGAATTTTTAATTATTCATTCCTCGCAAAGATTTGTGCTTCGGGTATGACCCCTTTTAAGGTGTATCTAAGGAAAATTTTAGATTATCTAGATTAAATTTGAGATTAACTTGAAATTTAAAAAGCAATTAATATTATGCATATGCTTTATTTATTTAAGAGTCGTGTCCGGTACCCCGTTTACATCATGGCAGCTACTTCACAGCCCAGCAAGAGCTTGGATTGAACGAAACGCTGCTATACAGATGTGACGAGGGATATCGCACTGCAGGAGGAAACACTGTGGAAGAAGCTGTGTGTCTAACCCACGGCTGGTCCCTTGCTCCAAACTGTACTAGTATGTAATGGGCTGGAAAAGGATTCTGTTTGAAACAGGATTTATTCCACAGATGAACGACAACTGACGAAAGGGGTTGTTTTATGAGCTTTGGGGTGGGGGAAGCCTTCCTCGGCTGGTTTTCACTGCTGTCTGTTTGCTTCCTAGAAAACACTTGCTCCTCTTTGAGTGCAATAGCACATGGAGGTTTCTATCCTGTGAAGAAAATCTATGAAGAAGGAGATGTAGTTCACTTTTTCTGTAAGGAAAATTATTCTATCACTGAATTTGACCTAATTCAGTGTTATTATTTTGGATGGCACCCAGCCCCTCCAGTGTGTGAAGGTACCTTATTTTTATAGTTTTACTATGTCAAATTCTTAGTGAAATGCTAGCACCTTCTGTCATGAAATGCTTTATGAATACAAAATAAAAATATGCTTTTTGTGCCAATTCACAGCTTAAATAGAAATCAAGTGGTAGCTGAAGGATATGGAGCAGGGGAGGAGGCAATGACAACTGGAATTCGTTTTCGGCAGACTGTAACGATAGGGCAGATACTGTCGCTTGCTGTATGTGGTATCCCAGAGACACAGGAATCAGCAATTACAGGGAAGTTGTTCAGCCCCTGAAGCTCAAGTTAGACCACGTTCAGATTACATGAAGGTTTAATCAAGCGTTGCTTAATCCCGCTTTGTGAGGTAGTGCCTCTCGAGAGGCATTAAGAAGAAAATTTGTTGTAAATTCCTCCAGAGCCTGGGGACTGTGGTACTTTTCAGAGTTTTAGAGCCTCGCCAAACTGGACATGTTTGCAACAGAATTAACTCGAAGGGTTATCCCGAGGACAGAAGCCCATCTTTGGCACTCACTATCACTTCTCCAGTCATTGGGGGTTAATGGAGATTCTCGGAAAAGAAACTTTCAAAAGAATGAACGGTCTAGTGACCCAGCTGAGATATGGTATACAGCAGAAAACTGTACCAGTCAACATTTGGGCTAGCTGAGAATTTATAATATTGTTGAACATACCTTGATTGTTGTGGGTCATTGTCTTACCTGGATATTGTCCCCTTTACTAGGATTGCTTCTGAGCTTTAGGAGATCTCAGTGCCTCATGGTAACAAATTCTCTGCTTTAGATACACGGAATGCAAGGTGTTGATGACAGAGGATGAGACAATCAATAATTTTTATTGGTTTAAGCTAAATCTATGGTATTTTTTCCCCATATATTTTTACAGGAATCTTTCCATGAAGTAGGTTTTCTAAAGCAACTTAATAATTGTTGTGGGGTTTTGAGATTTAAAAAAAAATATATATTTAGCCTTTAAAAAATATAATGTGTTAAGCAGAGTTTTCAGTAAAATTAGTGTTTTGTAATTCTTTTATAGCTAATCTTGTGCAAAGATTAAATTAATCTTCTTTTCCTAGAAGATACAGTAGCATTTAAAATGCAATAGATTCTCTCAATTAAGTGGCATATGTTAGGACCTCAGCCCTTTATTTATTCTGATTTATTCTGATGACACAGC